CTAGCTTTAGCTTTGAGTCTGAAAGTTAGAAGTCCGAAAGCGAGGAGAGCAAGTTCCGACTAAAGCAGCTACGGCAAGCCGTTGCACTCATGATTCTCCAAAGAGAATCACTTCGCTCCACTTCCTTAAACAAACCTAAAGGCGTACACTAAGGTAAGTCATATTTGTTTCGAAAGAGAGGTAAGGGATCTTTCTCTTTCCACTAAAGCAGCAAGCGTCCGTCCCCCTAAGCCCCAACAGGGGGGACTACTAACATAACAACAACAACACGACAAGCCGTATCAGTCGTGCCCCTAGTTCCTTACACTCACCTTAACGGACCTACAGGAGTGACTAAGGTGTCAATAGTGGTATCTTTTCGAAGGTAGTTCTTCCTAGCTTTTAGTCTGAAGGCTAGCAATTAGTCTATTCCGAAGGCGAGCAATAGCAAGGTGTTCTCCTGTCGTCAATCTCATTAGTCTCCACTAGCTGTAGGTTTTCTGCCCCACCAGTGCATGCCTCTTCCGCGTGAGGGCCAATGCAAAAACTAGGCCCCAACCAGTTATCTTTGAGCATGTACTGCGAAGGCTTAATGCACAAGTCGATGTGCTCGCCAAGTTGGGTGCAACAATTCAAGCACCACTGAAGAGGCCTACACAAATATGGGTAGCTGAATGGAGATATGTTGAGTTCGTTAAAAAGCTCGACAATGAGGATGAAGTGCAATTATTGAAAAATTGCTCTTCTCACCCATTCGGGGAAGCCATCACAGATGAAAGAACTACACAAGACTCATGCAGTTCTCAAGAATCTTCTATGACTATAAGAGAAGAAGAAGAGGGTGATGAAGAGTCATAATCTTCAGATGATATGTGTGCAGAAGTGGAGCCAGTAATGAACTGACACATCCCTATCAAGGAGTATTTGCAGCCTAATCGGCTTCTTGAAGACCCTATTGAGCATAACAAGATCTGAAGGTCAGCCACACGATATGTTTGTCGTGATGGTATCTTGTTTCAAATATCTTATAATGATATGTTGCTCAAATTATCAATCGAAAAGAGGTTAACCATGTGCTCAAAGAAATTCATGCTGGAGTTTGTCTGGTCCTAAGAATAGGATCATCAAGATAGAATAATATTAATCTTCTATGAATGCCGACTTCCTTATATTTGTAAAGAATTGTCCGGTGTGTCAGATTCATTCAAGCTTCATTCACCAAGCTCCTGAACCTCTCCAACTGACAGTGGCATCTTGGCCTTTTACTCAATTGGGCATGGATATTATAGGTCCTATTGATCCTCCATCTTCTTCGGGGCACATATTTATTCTTGTTGCCACATATTACTTCTCTAAATGGGCCGAGGCTGTCCCTTTATAAAACGTCCCCGAACTTGCAGTGGCCAATTTCGTGTGTCAACATATCATATATAGATTCGATGTACCTAACCAAATCACTTCTGATAACGGCCCCCAATTTGGAGTAATCAAATTGACCGCCTGGTCAACCAGTTTGGGTTTAAGTGGAAATACTCGACTATGTACCATCCAAGAGCTAATGGACTGGCCGAAGCTTTTAATAAAACCCTTTGTGATGCTCTGAGGAAGTCTGTATCCGACACTAAGAGGGATTGGCATGAAAGACTCTCTGAAATTCTATGGGCTTATAGTATTATTGCCCGAGGTCCAACTCAGTCGATTCCCTACTCTTTGGCATATGGGGGTGAAGCTGTGTTGCCTTTAAATATTCTATTATCTTCCCTCATAATAGCCCTTCATTATAAGATGACTGATGACGAACGGGCTGCTCTTCGCTATCAGGAACCAGATAAAAATTCTATTACCTTCCCTCATAATAGCCCTTCATTATAAGATGACGGATGACGAACGGGCTGCTCCTCGCTATCAAGAACCAGATACACTTGATGAAAAGAGGTTGCGAGCACAACAAAGTCACAAGAACTGTATGCAGCGAGCCTTTGATAAATCAATCAGAACATTTGTGTAAGAGGAATTGGTCTTGGCAGTAAGAAGACCCATTGTCACTGATGGTAGAATCAAGGGGAAGTTCAAACCAAAATGGGAAGGGCCTTTTGTTGTGAAAAAGGCTTTTCTTAATGCAGCCTATGTGCTGGTCAACACTGAAGGTGAAGAAGCTATGCCCGTAATCAATGGGGGATACTTGAAACTGTATTATTCATAAGCTATGGTCTTGACCACATGACCTTAAACTGCATGGTAACGGTCTAAGTTATATGACCTTAAATTGTAGCACAGATTCTGACCGCATAACGTTAAATTGCTTCACACAACGGTCTAAGCTACAAGACTTAAAACCATAGCACACGTCCTGATAGCATAAGGTTAAACTGCTTCCCACAACTGTCCTAAACGCATGACCTTTAAAATGCACGTTAATGATCCAAGCTATAGGACCTTAAATTATAGTACACATCCTGGCTGCATGACGTTAAAATGCTTCACACAGTGGTCCAAGCTATACGACCCTTAAACTATAGCACATGTCTTGACCACATGACATTAAACTGCTTCATACAATGGTCCAAGTTATACGACCTTAAATTGTAGCACACGTCCTAGTGGCATGATGTTAAACTGCATCACTTACGGTCGCAAAGGTGCGACCTTAAAACAACCTTCATTCGATCTTGGTGGATGACCTTTAAATACACCAAATCTACGATCTCGAAGGTACGGCCTTAAAATTTCCTTCACTTGGCCTTGGTGGATGACCTTAATACACACCAACTCTATGGTCTCAAAGGTACAAACTTAAAATTGCCTTCACTCGGTCTTCGTAGAAGACCTTAAAACACACCAACTCATTAGTCTCGAAGGCACTACCTTACGCATGTCTTCCCATGGTCACGGTGGCATGGCCTTAAAATTGCTTCCTCAAAAAGATGAGTGTGACGAAAACCAGCAAGGCGTCATGGGTAAAAAGAGTCAAAAGAAAAAAATATGATGGGCATAATAATATCACCAACTGTTACGAGTAAAATATGTAAAAAATAAAGAAATGGGCACGATGAAAACTCTCAAGGATGTCTTGAGTAAAAATAAAAAAAATGGCAGACATAGTGTAAAAGCTATGAGCAAAAGGAGCCACAAAGAAAAAAATACGAGGTTCTTGTGAAAACCAGATCTGGCACATACCCCAAGGACTTTGATGAAAACCTGAAAGGGCATTCAAGTCACACATGATGAAGAGCGAGCTAAGCTTTCATGCACAACAGGCTTCCAAGACTCACCTATCGTTCCTTTCCAAAAGAAACTGGAACTAGTCATGAGAGATAGGGGAAATAAAAGCAAACCATGAAGAAAAGAGAAGCATACAAGCCAAGGATGAGAAAGAAGAAAAATTCATTCCATACACAATTCGAAAGTTACAAAATTTTTTGTGATGACAGTCATCAATTATCTACAAAAGGAATGAAAAGAAGGTAGACAAAGAAAAAAGATTGAAGATTTTGTGAACCCCTAGAAGTCTTCAAGGGCTTCACGTATCTTAGTCTTCAGTGCCACCAAGGATTATTAAGCTACTTTCATCTCCTCCTTGAGATGAGAAATACTCTGCATGACTTGGGTTGATGTTTTGCCAATTGAAGCCATATGGGAATTCAATGCTTCTAACCTCTCAAGCTTGCTTTAAGCCTCTGCTCTCCTTTGGGATTGGTTGGACTTCACCCTTTCCTCGTCGACAACCTTTATCACTGTAGAATAGGCCGCATCTGTATAGGCCTGATCCATGGGACTGCCTACAGGAAAGGGCCTCCCACGAGAGAAAAAGGCGATGTCGAGCAAGAGCTTATGAGCTTCCCCTGACCACCTGAAGACTACCTTCATCCCTGCAATCCTCAGCATGTGAGGGCAAGAGTACCTTGCAAGACTTTCATTAATCTCAAATGCACCAGAGGTGTAAGGGTTAGTCCCCCTTAGGAAAATAGGCAGAGAGCTAGCCGAAAATGTAATGGACCAGAAAGGTGGTAAAAAAAAGGTTAGGAAAGCCCTTGTCGGCAAAAGACTCACTCTTGTTATCTCTTGAGGGAGCCGTACCATGCGCAATAGCCCCTAGGCCATGGTAAATGCTGCAAAGAATTGGTTGAGCTAGGGCATACTTATGCCCTTGGGCTAGCCTGTAGGCCACAAAGAAGCAGCCCGGTCGAATGATGTTGCTTCTTGACGCCGGCAAAGCAAAATTGCGCAAGAAGAGGACCAAGTAGGCGGCCAAATAAACATGGTCCCTCTAGGGTCTTCTAGGGGAATGATCAGCCTCTTGGAATCCTTGATTGCTTTCACCCTTTGTTCTTCATCCTAGATGGTGTTAGAACTCATTTCCCCTCTATCTTGGTGGTTCCCATGGAAGTAGTCCCTCCAAGTGTCAAAATGCACTCCTTTAGACTTAATCTTGGTCTCCGAGTGCAAGAGTTGATAAATTTCAATCAACTCACGGAGACCAGGAGGGGGCAGTTGATAGATCTCAAAAAATTACTTCATTACTCGGTATGAATTCTTCATACATGCCTCCCAACATTGGCAATCCACCGATGAAGTACATATCAAGAAGGGTGATTCCTAGTTCACCCCCATCAAAATGCCAGCTATTGGTCTTGTAAAACGATGCCTCCAACAAGGCCTTGATAGTGTTGGGACATCGGTCGTAGTAGCCAGCTGAGCATTGGCATGTTGCAGCCAATCCACATACCTTCAAGACATCAGCATGTGAGTCAAGGACACCAAATTTCCAAGTGTTGTATCCACGCATATATTGATGCCCTCCCTCAAAATGGACCCCACCAGGGGCCCAATGGAGACTAGGCTTCTCTAGCATCCTCTACCCCAATGTAGGAAGATTTTCACTTGAATCAAAGTTCTTATGAAGGGCATGATAAATGGGGATACCGTCCCTTTGAACTATAGGTTCCCCCTCAGCATCCTCATATCTACAAAGTCGAGCATCCTCCCCCACATAAGTGATGCTCAAGGGCCATTCTAATGACTGAGTAGGTTCAAGAATGCCAAGGGTGGTAGATATGGTAAAGGCAGAACCTGTATAAGAATTAATCCCCAATTCTCCAGCACGAGGTAGCTGATTTATATCAAGAATTCTCACTGCAAAAGAAACAAAAAGAAAAGGGTAAGCAATAGCATAGGACTACAACTTGTGTTAAAATTGTGTTAAAATGTTAGAGATTTTTGCCAAAATTTTAGCAGCATCTCCTCTATATGCACAATATCTACAAAGAAAGTGTTTTGCTAGTCCAAAACACCTGGGAGGTTCTAAGAAATTACGAGGCAGTGGGTCAAATGCCCATCGCGCAAAGTGATCCTGGAGAGCTCCCTTTTCTATCAAAGAAATCCTAGGAGGTTGTCAAAATTGCATAAAAAGTGCTTCACAGTGCTCAAAAGATACATTTAAAGGTGCATAGAGATGCATGATAATGCCTAAAATCATTACAAGATGCTTCACTCTGCAAAAGGGGATGCTCGCAAATGATTCAAAAAGTGGCATAAAAGTGCTTTTTGATGCCAGAATATGGTCCGTGATGCCCAACCATCACCAAATAAACATGCAAAGCATGGTGGCAATGTGCAAAATTGATGTGCAGGAGTTCAGAGATTCAGGCCGAAGGATGAAGCACTTGGTGGTTACACGCATAGGCTGAGTCTGCTCAAAACACTCATAGTGCGTACGTGCTAATAATGCCTCACTTAGGCGTTCCTGGCGTATCCGTGCAACTAAAGACGCACGAGCGTGCACACACAAGTTTGGGAATGCCTGAGCCCATTCAAAATACTCATGGTGCGTACGTGCCAATAATGCCTCACTTAGGCGTTCCTGGGGTATGCGCGAAACCAAAGACATACGCATGTGCACTCACAACCTCAAGCATAATCATGTCGCACATAGCGTGCATACGCGCTGAAACACCTCACCTAGGTGTTCACAGTGCGTGCACGCACAAGCTCAAGCATAATCTTGGCGCACATAGCGTGCATACGCGCTGAAACACCTCACCTAGGTGTTCATGATGCGTGCATGCACAAGCTCAAGCATAATCATGGCGCACATAGCATGCATATGCTTTGAAACACCCCACCTAGGTGTTCATGGTGCATGCACGCACAAGTTTAAGTTCAAGCATGGTCAAGCTTGACCACAATACTCATACCGCATGCACGCGTGAACTCATACATGGCTCAGTCCTGTCAGGGCCTTCATGACGCATATGCGCGAATGGCATCCATGGTGCATACACGTTGATAATGTCTCACCAAGCTACTCCTGGTGCATACGTGCTGAAGCACCTCACCTAGGTGCCAAAAACGTATGTACGCGCAAAGTTCAAACAAGATGCACCTAAGTGCTCGTGATGCACGCGCAAGCAAGGCCTTGTTTAAATGCAGATGGCGCATAAGAATACATAAGCCTCACCAAGAGGCTCACGGTGCACACATGGACCAAGCCACGATGCATATACGCGACATGCTTATGACCAAACCAAATGAACCAAACAAAGCGTATTAAAAGTTTGTGAAAATAGCTCATAAAGAAGTAAGAGGCATCAAACAAGTGAAGGTATGATCAAGGATGTTTGCGAAATTCAAAGTGCATCACAAATTTCACAAAAAAGACTAGTTGAGCATTAAATGGAAGGTAACAAAATGAAAAGAGGGCCATACCTTGAGGTTGAGCAGAACTTGTGCTTGCCATAACTTTGAGAGTTGCCCTTCTTTGATGAAAGTTACCGTTTTACTATCTCTCGGGTAAGAATTAAGGCTGTGAAAAAAGAGAGGTAAAAACCCAACTTACTTGGGGTAAAATGCTCCCTCTCTCTCTTATACTCACGTTTTTGCGTATAAAATTCGGGCACATGCATTTTGTGCAGCCCCTTCATCATGTATTCCTTTCTTTCTTCCAGCCCTCTCATGAAAGCCTGGGCACGCGCACTTGCGTGGCCCCGTTAAACAAGTGAACCCACCTAAACATGTGACCCCGTCAAACAAATACTTCTCTCTCTCACTCCTCATGTGAGTTCCTCGGCACGCACATATGTGCATCGCCGTCCAAGCATTTCCATCCCTCTCTCTTGTGCCTTTCAAAAACTCCTAGGCACATGCATACGTGAGGCCCTGTCAAATTCATCCCACTTCTCTCATTGATTAAAGGTTCTAGGTCCGCACTTAAACCTAAACCCTTGTCTCTTGAGTCCATTGTTGTTTTTACTCTTATGCATTTAAACACATGGATTCATTCGTAGACCCACACTAGCCTTTGGCTTAGCCATGGGCTTAGCACACACGCATGCACGATAACATTTGGTGGACAAATGAGCCATGCTCCTTGTACTACCTCCACACACTAGCCCTTCAATGGGTAATCTTTTAGCTGAAGTGAAGCCCAGAATCCTGAGCTCATTAGCCCCGTATTCTAAACCCTTTGATTTCAAGCCATGGGCCCACTAATCCAGTACAACCCTAGGTGACCCCAATTAGCCTTGAGGGACCTTAAAGACAATTCTTACCTTTCAAACCTAATCCCCAAGGGAGTCTTATACCTAACTTCCAATGACTCACAAAAACCATGGGAATCTCAATCACCCCATCTTAAGACCTTTGGTCACATGTGCTTCACTGCTAATCTCCATTATTCCCAAGGGGAGCATATTCTAAATGTCAAATCCCCATGAGATTCCATGAATAATACTATGTCCAAGCAGTCATAAAAACCCATGATAGTCCACCATCCCTATTGAGCCACCAGTCTTAATGGGCTACCAAGTTCCAACGGTCTATCAACACCAATAGACCAGCATCCCTAATGAACTGTTGTTTCTAGCCGTTCATCACCCCGGATGGTACACATTCCCCACTGGACCACTAATGTCAACAAATCATCATTCCAATAATTCAACACCATTATCACCAGGGAGGTAACCATTTCCTTACCTTTCAAACCATTTTCATCCCCGTGGAGTTTTTTATGCACCAGCTAATCACTAGACCATCTAAAACCCCATACCCAGCAACAATGAACCATAAACTATCTTGAAAGAAACCCAAAAATCTCCAGAATGGTTCACTTCTTAAATAAAAGCCTCACCCATGGTATTGGCTACCACAATGAGCCTTATGAAAATACGATCCCTCTGTCCTATGCATTGTCAAGGAAGAAGGATCTCTCTAAAAAGAAAAGAAGCCAGGCATGATGAGCATTCGATGAGGATCGTCATGAGTAAAATGAGAGCTTCGGGTGGATATAGCCACAAAGCTCGGGGTAAAATTATCAAAATAAAAGAATTGGGCATGGTGAAAACCTGCAAGGGCACCATGAGTAAAAATGACAGGCGGTCAGGCCATGAAGCCCTGAGTAAGAGTGTTCTGAAAATAAAAAAACCGGGCATGGTGAAAACCTGAAAGGGCGCCTTGAGTAAAAATGGAAATCAAAGGTGAACGTGACCTCAGAGTCACGGATAAAAGAGCCTCAATAAAAAGAAACAGTTGGTGAAAACCATTTTTATGGCACAACTTCTATCTAGTTCAGGTGAAAACCTGAAAGGGCCCTTGGACTAATAAACAAGTTGATGCAGCTTTTGACTGAAGACGTCTTCAACCAATTACAGCAGAAAATTGAAAGGTACTGTGTGAAATCCCAACCAGCCCTTCTTAAGATGAAGTTCTTGCACCACTAGGATTAAGTCCACCAAGGACCCTCAGTCATTGCAAATAAAGCTACTGATGTGGGAGCAAGCCCTTAAGAAAGGCACTCACTCAAAGCCAAAATGAAGTTCCTGCACCACTGGGATCAAGTCTACCAAGGACCCTTAGTCATTGCAAATAAAGCTGCTGATGCAGGTGCAAGCCCTTAAGCAAGGCACTCACTCAGAGCCAAGATGATGTTCCTGCATCACTAGGATTAAGTCCACCAAGGATCCTCAATCGTTGCAAATAAAGTTGTTGATGTGGGAGCAAGCTCAAAGCCAAAATGAAGTTCCTGTGCCACTGGGATCAAGTTCATCAAGGACCCTCAGTCGTTCTAAATAAAGTTGTGATGTGGGACCAAGCCCTTAAACAAGGTACTCACTTAGAGCCAAAACGAAGTTCCTCGGCCATTGGGATCAAGTTCACCAAGGGCCCTCAATTGCTGAAATTAAAGCTGTTGATGTGGGAGAAAGACTTTAAGCAAGGAACTCACTCAAAGCCAAGAAGATTGGAAGATATTGGCAGAAACCCAGACCTGCCCTTCCCCACCAACTAGATTGGGAGCAAAAATCCCACAAAGGGTACCCACTAGTTAGTCCATTAGGAAGTGTTATTGAGGCGGAACGTTAAGCCCTTCCATAAGGCACCCTATCATCACACTCTTCCAGAAAACATATTTTATTGAGAAGGAAGTCCTTAAGCCAGGCCACCAATCGCTAGAGTCCACTTCGGGCGCCCCTCTAGGAAGAAGCTTGGTATGGTCTCTTCCTCAAAGTTCGTGCTGATGTTAGTGCTCGAGAAGAAAAATATTGTTTAGAGGCAATAAAGGTGTCTTAGTAAGGATTCAAAAGATGAACTTCGATGACAAAATTTTAATCCGAACACTTCTTGTTTCTCTCGAAGAGCAGTATTCGGTGGGACAAGTTATTATATGTCATTTTTGATGTACTTGTATCCCCGAGATGCATAAGGAGAGAGCCAATAGTAACCTGGTCCTGCTAGTACCCAAGACACTGTCAGACCACAAGAATACTGTAAAATAAGCCTAAAACTGGGCGACCTCTGAAAGAGTACTGAAACAGCTTCAAAAAGCATGAAAAGGGTAGTTTGAGATGCCTGAAGGACGCTTATAAAGTTTCGTCACATTTCAATAAGTTTTGATATGATTAGGATCAAACTCGGTTCTCAAATCTAGTTTTCATCATGCTAAAAAAAAGACTTTATAAGTACAGCCCTATTTTTGGGGCCTTAAAATGGTACCAAATGACCTCCATTAGATCTAGAACATCGGAAAAACCCCCATGGACTAAATTTAGGCTCAATCGAACCTTCCAAGACCATTAGGGGTACAACTTACCATAAAAGGGTGGGTTTTACACTATTGCGGTGCAGCCTCGGTGAACCAATTTCCATTTATGAAAACTTTGTTTTCCTATTTTAGGATTATTTTCAAATGCTTATAACTTGCTCATTTTGAGTTGGAATAAGCTCCAATTTGGACACTTGTGTCATTTTGACATATGGCACGCTTATGACATGGCCCGAAATGCTCTTAAAAATCAAATTTTATAAAAGAAAATATTTCAAATTTTGTGAAGTCATAACTTGAGATCTCAGTGTCGGATCATCGCAAAAATAGGTCTGTTGCAACCATATCGCGAAGTGCTATGATTTGGTTTTTTTTTTTTGCACAATTGGAGGATGGATAATAAAATTTTGAGGTTGAAAAAGGAAAGATTTTATGATAGCTGGAATCCCATTTTCCAGCGACTTCCAAATTTTGGAATATGCACAAACGAAAAGTAAATTGGACGAAATTTAGTGCAAAATGATCGTGACAATGTCTTATTTAATTTGTGATCAAAATGAGGACTCAGAACATTGTGAATTGCACCGGATTAGTGGTTGAAGTTTATGGACTTGGTCGGATTTTTGGTCCTTCATGAAAAATCTGTTTCAAGATGATCAAAGGGCATCAAAATGTTCGTAATAGATCAAGCATCGATTTTACGAAGATTGATCGCCCGAATTACCACCCCAA